CCTGAGTGCTGGGATTATAGGTGTGCACCATTGCACATACCCTACAATTAACTTTTAAAAATTCAGTTGACTGGGCTCCAACTATGAGGTTAAGGCAGGGGACCAGGGCATGGCACAATTGACTGGGGAAGTAGCCATGACTTTCTGATTACAAAATCCCAGGACAGATGAGTCGAACAGTTCCCAGAACTCTGCCTCTGGTCTTCTTGTGAGAACTCAAGCAGCTTGGCAGGACAAGCTAGAGCTGCTGTCAGCCTGAGGACAGTCCTCAGTGAGTTCTCTGCTGCTCTGTTCTCTCCCAGTAGCCTGTTCTCATCTTGTGCAGTGTACTTATTTTCCTACTTTTACTTGGCCCAATCTCATTCTGTAGAGCCTGTTTCTTTTCCTATCTTTAATAAATGTAAAACTGTGCAACTTTTTGCCCTTGTCTTGACCAAGTCTTTGTGTAGGACAGAAAGAATCTAGAAACTATCTCTAGATGGAGACTCCAGCACCCCAAAACCCAGTCACAGGGAGGTCTCAAGGAGGGGATCTGAATGTCATGTTTTTAATGCAGTGTGGAGGAACTATATGTCCACATCTGTTGAGACCCAGTGGTGTGGCCCCTTGGTGCTCAAATTTGGGTCTGTGATCCAGCAGTGTAGGTCCCAGCTGGGAACCCAGCACCTCAGGCTGCACCCTGACCTGCAGAATCAGACTTTCCATGGTGACAAGGTGCTCCAGTGGTTCACACCTATGTTACAGTTTGAGGGGCCCTGCTCCGGCCCATCTATTTAGGAGAGAGATGTGCCTTAGAGTGGCAACAACCCAAGCACTGAGAGCTTATAGAAATGCAAATGTGTGGCCCAGCCTGGACCTGCCAAACAGAAGCTATTGGGGTGGCAGCCAGGAATGCATATTCTAACAAGCTCTCGAGGAGCTCTGATGAATAGCAAAGTTGGGGGGGCCTCTGCCCTGGACATTAGGGTACAAGACACTGGCACACTCGGAACCTCTTTGATCCTAAGAATCCACTGCCCTACACTGGGTGATCAAACGAGAGCTGGGCCTTGATGAACTTTAAAAACTGTCAGAGCTGCACCAGGCTAATCGGGCAAGGCTAGTTCCTCGCCGCCCCTTCTGTTGACAGCAGTTTTGCAGGGCTGCGTTAACCTTATGCTTCAGTTCGTGGCTCTGTCATAGGCCCCTCTCTTTATTTCGTCTGTGTATTCTAGTCCACTTGTGTCCCCTCGCCATAGCAAGCCATCCCAGGGAGGCTGAGCTGTCCTGTAAAGAACGGATTGATTAGAGCCCGTGGGTTCCATCTCTCCTGCAGATGCTGAGCCATAGACATCTTCCTGTGTCTTCCTTGTTCCCCTCAGCAGAAGATTTTTGAGCTCTCCCTTCACTACTGAGCATATTCCAGTTGTTTCCATCTCAGGCTTCATGTTTCCAGCTCCTCCAGCCCCTGTGATGAGACCCCAGCTGGCCCCAATGCCTCTGTACCGGAGGGTGCTCAGGGAAGCAGCCCCCTGTGTGTCTCTCCATGAACCTGTGTGTTTCCCCACTTCAAGGCAGAAAAACTCGAAAGGTGTCCAGCTCTTGTGACCTGTCCAACGCTTGGTCTGTGAGGTAGCAGACTTAGGAATTCCTGCATGATGATCCAAAGTGTGATTTTAAAGTCAGACACCAGCCCCTTCACCTTTCTGTGCCTTGGTTTGCTCATTTATAAAAACAGATCTAGTTTATAGGTTCGTTTTGAAGATTACACTAATGAAAACCACTTAGCACAATCTCTAATACACAGTAAGTACGCTGTAAATGCCCACTATAATTTGACTTCTTTCCTGAGACTGTCTTTTGACGGTGTTTACAGTGATGATTTTCTTTGCTGGTCTCGCATTATTGGTACCTTTCCTCACACGTCCGCTACTCCAAATGCCATCTAGCATGATGCTGGAGATAGCAGGGAAGACATGGGGCCTGGGCAAGGGGGAATGGACCGAGGCCAGGACTGGTGTGGGGTTGGTGAAGGAACTGGGGCCAGAGAGGCTTGTCGGGGTTGGAGTCAAGGACGACTCGCAAGCAGTTCAGGGGCAAATGATAGGGTGGGGTACACTACGCAGGAGGCAGAGGCCCCAAATGTTCTACTGTCTGGCCAGCCCTGGTGGAAAAGCAGGGCCTGCACACAGTAGGTGTGCAATGTCTTGTACTTCATCTGGTCTTAAAAGAAACGGGAAGAGGAGAGCATTGTCACTTAAGAAGGGGAGTTGAGTTGCTGCCTGACATTGTTCCTTGTGTATTCAGGCGCTGAGTGGGGGAGGGAAGGACTCGCCAGGGGCTGCACAGGCTGCACGCACCAGCAGAGGGCGCCACACACCTCTGCACAGAGCTGCGGCTGTGAGAAGCCGGGCAAGTTGAGGGTGGAGAGTCCAACTGCACCTCCTGCCTGGGATTGAGGGCTTTCCTGACTTCAGGGACTGTGAGTGCTAAAACAGGGAAAGTGCCAGCCAATCGGAGGCGAGTTGCTTACCCTGGCAGGAAGAAGCAATCACTGAAGCGGTACATACACACACATACACACATACATGCTCACATCAAACACGTGGCACCAAGTGCACCTGCCTGCACTACACATCACACACATGCACATCACATCACACACACGCACATCACACATTCATGCACATCCTATCGCCAACATAATACATGCAACACGCTTGCACATATACCTGTGCTCTACTTGCCTTACACAGTTATAACATATGTGCAACATGCAACACTATTACAGCAAATATAGATGCAAAAATGTATCACACAAACATGAAAAACAAGCACTCCATCCCAACAGTGCATGTGCACATCACAGCAAATGCACAACACACACAATTTATGTAGAACACTGTACATGCATTACACCCATGCACACCGCACACACGGTGCATGCACACCTGTGCACAAAACACATTCGTCCACTTTGTCCCATATACACAATACATCTCTGCCCTTCATACATAATAGCACACTTGAGTATGTACACATGTACCACTCACAGTGTAACAAACATGCAAACACACATCACATAAACATAGGCAAGCCAAATGCCACATCACAACATGCATGCAAACATACACACAATCCATGGACACATTGCCAAAATATACAATACATATTATTGTACATGAACATTCATGTGCACACAAGAACACATCAGACAGATCATATTTGGGTATATCACTCCACATATATAACGTATGTATCAAACAAAAAACCACCACACAATGCACTATACATATATACTACACACATGTGCAATGTTCCTTTAATATATACACATCACAATGCACAGCACATACACAACACATGCCTGCAGACACACACATACAATGGACCCACAAATCCACACAGGCATAGCACCCTTGCTCGATGCATAGAATAGTCACACACGCACACTGCTTTGGTAGCCAAAAACTCTCTTGTTTGATGTGATGTTTCTTATCTGCAAAATGAAGATATTCAATCTTGCTTTAAGTGAGTGGAAAAATATGTTTCACTTAGCCATCATTTCTGTTCTGTCTTCTAGGCACTGGGGTGTATAGTACAAATTCTGTGCCAACCTTCTCTGGGCTCACAGCATGGCAGGGAAAGCAGGCAATGGACGAGTGAACATATCTGTGGCCATTTGGCTCCAGTTGTACTGACTGCTGTGAGTTCAGACTCCAGGGTGGGGAAGAGACTGTGGCACGGAAAGCATCAGAATTCCCGGAAAGAGCTTTGCGAGCCAAGGCCTGTGGTGAGGAGCGGGGTGGGGGTGAGGGTGAAGGGCATGCGAAACCAGGGCACACGGCAGGGAGCTCGTTCCTCGTGCTCACCCTGCATTTGCACCCCCTCAGTGTGGGTGACTGAGCGGTCAGGCTGAGAGGGACCAGATCACGAACCCGAGGTTTACGCGGCCCTGCCCACAGCTGCTGCTCTTGCGTCCGGGGTAGAGGATGTGTTTGCTTTCCAGGAAACGCTCTGGGCTCTGGGAAGAGCTGTGTGTTACAGGGAAGGACCCTGTCCACCCAAACTACTAGCTGCAGTGCTCCTGGATGCTGGTAAGCACTCCCTCACCGGACACTGGGTAAGCGAGGGTGGGGCTGTAAAGGATGGGCCTGCCATCTCCTTGGACGCAGGCCTGCATGTCATGCATATTTCCCAGCTTCCCTTCTGGAGCCGGGGCCACTCTGCCAGGCTAAGCTACAGTCAGCACCACAATGTACCTCTTGAGCACTGGAAACTCCTCCCTTAGTCTCGCTGACTGGGGGTTTAGGCAGACTGGAACATAATGCCTGAATTTGGATCCCTGCCTTAACATTTACTAGCTGTGTACCTGTGGGGAAGCCATTGGCCTCTCTGTGCCTTATTTTCTTACCTCCAAAATAGGCCTGATGCTAACAGTAGCAGCGATCCTACTGAGTAATAAGGACTTTACAGGAGTATGAGTTAGTGCACGAGCATGAGAAGCTCTTAGATTAAAACCAGGCACACAGCAAGAGCCATATAAATGTGAATGGTAATTATTATTTTGATCCAAATAAAAGCAAACACTAACAATAAGCTTAATATAAAAATGCTCGGAGTCCAAGTGTGTGAGCTGGAAGGCTCCTTGGAGGCACAGCTCCAACCTCCTGTGTGTTACATAGATTAAGTTGTGTGACCTGACACTCTAGAAAGGCACGACTAGAGCCCCGGAAAGGGAGGAGAGCGAATCAGCCAGAGCGCCTCACTGTCTCCTCTCTGGGACAGTGGTTCTCACCCGGAGGGCTTATAAAGATCACTGGACCCTGCCCGGGGTTTCTGACTCAGCAGCCTGAGGTGGGGTCTGAGACTCTGCATGTCTGACAAGTGGCCCAGAGACCACACCTTGAGAAGGCTGCCCTAAGTACAGGGGAAGCAGGGTGCAAAAAGTCTGCATCACTGACTTTGCTGCCGCCTGACTGCGCGCCCCTTCCGGGGAAGGGAAACAGGGCCTTACTTACAGTGGGTGCCGCACCTCTGGGAGGACCCTCTGCAGGGGGAGGCGGGCGCTGAGTGCCTTGTTGAGGCTTTGTGAGTCCAGGCTGAGCGGGCTCAGCGCCTCTTCTTCTGACACCTCCCCATCCTCCTCCTCAGTCCCCTGGTCCCTGTCTGGGGCTTCCTCATTCTGCCTCCTCAGATGCTGGATGAGCCGGTAGCTGCCGCCTCTCCTCCCCTGGCTTTGATTCCTTCGGGCCCGGGGTGAGGCCACAGCCACCAGAAGCTGATCCTCCCGCAGTGAGATAAAGGGTGGCAGGTCCTCCAGGAGGCCATACTCCTCCTCTTCCTCCTCAGCCCCCAGTACCCATTCCTGGGATTCCCCAAAGTCCAGGCGGTACCTGGCTTCGGAGCTGTGCTTGCTGGTCTGGGCTGCGACAGCCTCGTGCAGAGTGGGAGGGGGAGGGTACAACACGGCCACCATCATCAGGGCGCAGGCCAGCATCGGGAACAGCAGGAGAAACGGACGTCTGCACGGTCTGTGCCGGTGTCGCTTCTTTAGGAGCATGTTGCTGCAACTTGCCAAATGCAACAAGTCATGTTCGAGATCGCCTCCTGGTGCTGCTCTGGGTCTCTTCCACCTTGCAGCCGTGCCTGGGTTGTTTGTTTCACCTGGAAGTCCTTCCCTAGTCACTTAACCTGCTGCTTTTCTCCCGTCTGACATTTGCCAGTAGGCTGTGTAAGACCTGCTTCCACTTAAAGTCAGAAAGCCACAGGACCCCAGTTCCACCCTAGGTCCTCTCTGAGTGGATTTCTTTAATTGCCTTCTGAAAGCCTGTTCACGGGGACTTCAGATTAAATTGCTGGTTCCCTTTTTGCCCCATTTTTCTCCTTGGGATAAGTAAGCAGTCCATCCTGCTCAGATGCTTGGTCCCACGTGTCTCTTCCCCCCTTTGCATGAACGGCCAAGCAGCGATGAGATGGCTGGGGTGAGCTGGTGGGCTCCCAGTCAAGCAGAGCTGACAGCCGTCCCTGTTTGGACGCTTCAAGTTAGGTCAGATCAACAGATGTAAAGGCGGCAGGCAGTGCCTGATTTCCTTTCACACATCGCTCTGCTCAGCGGAGAGCCCTCTGCCAGACACAACCCTGAGCCAAGTGTGCGTCTCGCTCCTGGTCCTAATGCCCTCACTGTTCCAGCTTAGCACAACCCAACAGCGTCACTGCTAGAACTGGATGAAAACAGGAACATCCCAGGAGTTCAGATTTGGGTCTTGTTCACAGGCACAATTCT